TTGCATTATTATTAACTGTACTATTTGTATGCCTACTTTTTTCATTTCCATGATTATTATATTTTCTATTGGCTGATGATGGGCTTATATGAGCCCGAAACATGTTTCTTTAAGATTGATCTTTGATCATTCTAATGAATGTTGTGGAGATGACTTTGGGTTTTCATCTATGAAATCCTTTTGGATTATGAAGCTATTCTTCGCCATTCGGTGCATTCGCCAATATATCGAATATGGTCATAGATAATAATTATTATGGTTGGACGGTATTATATATTCTTTCCAATAAAATAATGCAGTTAATATAATTATCGCGATAATTATTATAGTCACCGGAAATAATGTGTATGGATGGATTTGCGGAATTTAAAGAAAATCGGATGGAGTATATGAAAGTGAGTGAAAAATTAATTGCAAGATTTGACACAAACAAACAGAAAGACAGACAGACAGAAACAGAGACGAACAAGAAAGTTAAGAGTTCGATAAAAGTGGGTTGATAGCAGAGATCTATGATAGCTGACAGTAGTACTCATTTATATCCCAGCAGTACCGGATTTATCCTCACTTACGCCGGAGGCCAACTTTAATGACGCCTCCGCCAAATAGTAGATACCGGGTGACCAGTTATATTCTGACCCATTTCAACTGCTCATATCCCCGAAACCATTCAAATTATCGTTGTACGGTTTTTTGGACTTCTCTATTTTGATATTCTTCAAGTTTTTTGACTGGTTCACCTTCTTACCTGAACTTCCGGTTCTACCGGAAACAAACAAGCCATTATTCAGGTATATGGCAACTTTGATAACCTTAACATTGCTTAATCTCATTAAACCATTCCACAAGCAGTAGTTGTGTCAAAGAGTTATAACTGTAATAGTTTTCTAGGAGAACATAACTTGTAATACATTGTTAGATGGGAAAAAGACCAGTCTTTCTGAGTGTGCAAAAATACACAGGGTGATTCAATGAAATAAAAAAGTTGCCCTATACCTGGATTATTGCTTGTTTGTTTCCGGTAGAACCGGAAGTTCAAGTGAGAAGATGAAGACGTCAAAAAAAAAACTTGAAGAACATTTAAATAGACTAGTCCAAACCGCAGAACGATAACTTGAATGGTTTCAGAGATATGAGCATTAGAAATGGGTCAGAATATAACTGGTCACCCAATACCAATTATTGTCAGGTCAGTTTCAAATAATGATTTCATATAATTATTACATAAAATCGTTACTGGTACCTCGACTGGTACTCAATGAAATGAATTATATTCATTTCACATAATAAAAAAATGTATTTTTCCTCACATTTTCTGGATTTCAGTGATTTAAACAATTCAGCTCAAATGACAAAGGAATGTGTTTTTCGAGGTGTTTTTTATCTTCTGCCGTTTCCATTACAATGCACCAAAGTCTTTTACAACCATATTGAGGTTGGATAACAAAAACACAGTAGCTTCATCAATTAATGGTATGAATTGTGTGAATTCATTGGATTCATTGAACGATATCACTTCAAGAACTCATCGTGTAAGCGAACAGAATTTTGTGGAAATTATCGTTCGTTTTTTTACATATTTGGTGAAGTCGATACAATTAATTAACATTGTATTAATATATTTGATATGAGTAGATCGAGGAGTAGATACAGCGATCTTTAATCACAATTCCACCATACAAGTTATTGAACCCTTGTGTGGGAATGCATGTATTTTATTATAATGAATTTCATCAAAGAAACTCACTGCATATTCTTCACATTAGATTTCACCAAAGGTTTCATTTTAAACTAACTGGAATGTATGTATGTATACAAACAATTGTCGTCATCAGAATTGTACATAGCAACAAGGTTCTACAATAATTGAAAATGTTTAATGCGTTGAACAATAATGGTATAGAGGTAACGAGAGACAATTCGAATCAGTATTCGTGTAAAGGAACAGATAGTTCGGTTCAGAAGGTATAGTTGTTTTGTGGAATAGACCGCCAGTGTTTCTTTTTCGCCTCGTTTTTCGCTCACTGTTTTCTTCTATTTCACGAAATCAATACATAGTTTTCCTCGCGGATTCTCTTTATCCAATCCGAACCACTTCAATATCTTCTCCCGATTCCAACATTCAAACTTTATCATAAAGGGAGATATATAGAAATGCCTTTTCCCCTCAGAGAATTCAACTGCGGAGCATTTTGATATATAAGACCTTAAAAGGGCGTTCGAAGAATACATTTGAAAGGAACTAGCAATGTTCACGGTCGGAAACGTAGTGAAAGATCGTATTTTTTCAAAATCAAGAGAAGTGTCTATAAATACTTTGTTCTCGTCAGTTATACCGGGTGTCAAAATGAAATTTCTCTTGCAGAAAATTCGAAAAGGTATGTTCGTGCATAACTCGATATAAACACAAGAAATTCGAGAAGAACTTAGTATTTGAACAGAATAACATTGTGTATTATTCACTCGGCCGTTTCCGAGGCTGTTTCACTCCATATATTTGTAGGTAGTCATTCCCGCTAGACCCCAAATGTGATACATTGATGAATCAGCTTTTCAGGGAGAATATAAAAATGCGATAAAATACAGGGTTTTCCGTTAAAAATAGCAAAGTTGATACTAATCTCTGGTATAACCGGCAGCGCTGCATTGCTGACAATATTTTAGATTGGTAGATCAAGAAAATTTACTTGAGTAATCAAATTTTCGGAATGATCCTTCGTCCCATTCTCCGTAAACGTCTAACGTACCATCGACTGTGACCCGCACCATGTTGAGCCACCCTGTATACATGAATGAACGCCAAACTCGAGGCCAAACTGAATGAAAATATTGATGGGGCTGCAACGACAGTAGAAAATTTTTAAGAAATGGATATATGAATAGGTTGTCAATAGGTTTCCCATCACCAAGTCCTTGATGTGAGGAAGAGATAAAGGATTTGGAAGACGTTCTAGATGAAGATGTACAGTCAGATGCAAATGAAATGTCGCACTTCTAGTCACTCCTGCAATAAAAGCGCTAACACCATCGAACCGCGACATGTTCTTTGCATTTCACTGTACCAAGAAATGAATTTTTCATTGAATCAAGTTTTTTTCTTGTCATGTGAAGCAATATGTGCAAGTTGAATGGCAAAGTTTAAGCCTTGGTTTCAGCCAAGCAATTAATATAATATTCATAATTTAAGTCTGAGCGAGGGTCTGATGCTCGGTCTGATGGTATTCGGCGAATCTCTGGTTGGATTATTTGGTTCAACTATGATTGATCACCAGGGCTGTTATCAACTACATTTCGTATTAGGAGGCCATCATCATGAAGCTAAGCTTTCCTGGGATTATACGTTTTTGCCTCTGGTAGTCAAACGGACCGAATAAGAGTTTTGGCGAGTCTCTGATGATGACCTATGAATTCCTGACCGCATCAAAGGAAACTACGCGAGAAACTACGTACTTATCACTGTTGCGGTAGCGTTTTGGAATGATTTTGGTCGAGATCATCAGAAAGAATGTTGAAAACAAAAAATTAATCAGTTATATAATTATGATAATAATAATTAATTGAGCTAAAGTGCTCAGTTATTAATTTTGCACTTATGACAATTACATTTCAGTTGCATAGTCATAATGATAATTGATATGGTTAGAAATAGCATCACATAAATGAATTGCGTCCTTTGTTATGTCACAAAATGGAATGGAATGCCTCGGGAATGCAGTGTTCCGTTCTCATTTAATCGCATTTAGCCGACATTTGAATTGACATAGGAAAGCGAAAGAGGGAGAATGGGGGTGGTTTTTCCTGCTTTCCAATTCTGAACGATCTGGTAAACATCAGAGCAAAATTAAACATCGAACATTTTTTATATCTATTAGTTTCCATTGTTTACAATCGGAATGACATCTTCTCCCTATGTGATGTCTATAGCAAATTTCGAACGAATAAATATAACGTTCGATAATTTTTCAAATCACAACTGCTTAAAATAGTTTTTGAGGGGATTTTCCGAGGGATTTTCAGAAAGATTTTTTTAATGAAAATCAAAAAACTATACCTACTTATTCGATTACTTATCATATTATAGTCAGAAATGTCGGATGAATAGGAACTCGAGTTGAGAACCTTCATGAAATAAGTAAAGGGTCCTATATACAGGGTAAGCTGTTATGATTAGCAATTGATGCTTGTGCGAAATAAAATTCGATCACCTCTAAATTTTTTTCGATACTCAATATTTTGTATTCCACAAGAGATACAAATTCTGTATCATTTTCATTTACAACACCATCTTGACCAATAGTATTTTAGATATGGAGAAACCAGGAACCTCGATATTCTAGAAAAAAATTATTACCTACCTAATCTATTATATTCTGAATAGACAATCATTTATTCTTTGAATATACAGGATGTTTCATTGATGTTGCACGAAATTTCGAGGTCAGATTCTTTGTGTCAAAATATGAAAGGAAGTTCACATGAAAAAACTGTCCTAAAGTCCTAAACTTTGTTTCGAGTATACAAGATGCTTAGGTTTCTAGAAAAACACATTTTTTCATCAATTTTGGAAAAAGCCTTAGATCGATTCTGCAAGTCCTTTAATTTGTTACACAAAAAATAGTACTTGAGTTGTGGAATTTTTCTAATATCACAACTGCCATTTTTTGAGCAAAAAACTGATGGACTTGCCCTATCAACGGTTAGGTCCAAAAATTGCCCCACCAAAAAGTTGTGAATTCTATTACTGTCGTTTCGATCCTTTCTGAAAAATCAATGAAAAACTGTTTTTTTTTAAGAAACTTGAGTATGCTGTATCACAGAAACCTCGACAGAAACTACTGATTGTTCGACATAATGTGTTCATATAAACTTTTTTCCTCATTTTCAATGAAAAAATATGACCTCAAATTTTTGTGCAACTTCGAACTCGACTTCGAAGAAACATTAATAGGATATCATTTTCAACTTGTTCACACAGTTCGTTACCGAAATATTGTTATTACCATTTTCTCGTGGAAGACAATTTCCAAAAGCCACAAATAGGCACACAACAAACGCAATCCTTTTCACTTCCATTTCAACCAGAAAAAATAACACCCACTATAAACAATATCCACAGCACACTGTAATCCTCTCGCCGAAACTCTCAACTCCACTCACAATCAGCACGCTTTCGGCAACTTTTTCAGTCGTATCACCTGAGCTAATTCGAATTTCGCGCTACACAGCTCCCGAATGGGATCTTGAGGCACTCTCTATTTGTGACTGAACTCCCTCGCGGCCACTGGACGTTACCGACTGACTGTAGCCCCCACTTTCCGACTGAAACGAACTCATACCGTTGAATATATTGACGAAAGGGAGGACAATCTGAAGCTAAATGGTGGGCACGAAAAAAAGAAGAATGATATACAGGATGTCCGTAATTCAACTGAAACATGGAGATCTCGGTTATCTCGAGATACGCGATGTTTAATAATAAGAATAAGAAAGGCTTTTATTGCTACAAACAAGAATGAATGTACGAAATAGTGACAAAAATGTATGTATTTCTACCAATGGGCATAGTTAGATTTTGTCTGATCACTAAAGAAATAGACAAGTGCTTTCTTCCACTCGATCTTAACTAGAAAATAACAAAAATCGAAGAAAAAAATGAAAAAAAGGAAAGAACAAAATACATGAAAGTTCATTGATCTAGCAAAATATTTTACGCTCTATATTACTACAGCCAAGATTGACACGTGATCAGAAAGTGATTTTGAACTTGTTACAACTACAATTCATGAGTTAGAAGCAGTTTTTTCATACGACTTTTAAAACCCAATATATTCATTTCCTTCAGAGCATCCGGAATCCAGTTGTACAGCTTTGAAATCGAGTAAGAAAAAGAGCAATCGATATTGACTAGTGGTGGATTTGAAACGGATATTGAGGTTATGGATGTCAGTGCGAAAGGTGATCTTCCGGAAATGATATGGAGGTTTTCGAGTTTTTTCCTTATGAAATAGAGCACAGGCATGCAAAATCCTTCTCACACAAATCACAATCACAAATTAGACGAACGCAAAAATTCTGAACGAGTTGTAGGCGTTGCGCATCTCTCTATGATATAGCAGGTCCATAAATGATGTCACCATGATTGAGATGTGAAAGAACTAAGGATTCACATAAGAAAATAGAGTACACTTAGTATTTAGTGAAATAACAAATGGGAAAAGCACCGCAGGCGATTTTTTTCATTATTCAAGGTCAAATGCCTTTGAATTGAAAATTACCTTTGAAGCAACTGCCTATTTGATCAAAATAATGAGTAAATATATTTTAAAAAAAACAAATTAGATGAGTACGTAGCTACACTTATTGAAAAAATATATTTTTCAATTTCAGTATCTAATAAAGAGGTACAAAAGCAGATAAACACATTCATATTTACAGTAAATTGAAATATTTTTTTTTCGTCTACACCGATTCGTCACAAACACAACAGCAGGGCACATAATATACAGCAGAAAGCACAGAAACTTGAATTGAAAGAAACATCAGAGAACATCGGATGACATCGATTCACGAGTCATGAATCAAAGTTCTTTCTTTCTTAAAAAAAGATAGAGTACGAGGACAGCAGTCTCTAAAAAGATTACTTGTACTATAAAAAGAGTATGTCTGGTCATTTGCAAAACTGTGGATGATGCAAGTGGTTACTAACCAAACAGATAATAGATATGAATTATGTTGGTGCCAGAATGGATCCTTATGGACTGCCGGAACTGTTGGCTATGGTATCAGATGATACTTCGTCCACCACGACATGGAGCGATCTGCCTGATAGAAAACTGGACAAAAGATGGCATAGCTGATGTATGGTAGGCCGTATGATAGTTTGTGATGGAGTTTGTGGATGATTCCTTGGTGTCAAACACGGTCGAATGATTTCGATATATCCAAGGCCACAGCTAGAGATTTCTCATGTTTTTCTAATGAGCCATATATGAGTTATCTAGGCCAGTGAATCTCCAGTTGATCGATGGCGAAAGCCATATTGTCTACCATTGATGATTTCTGAGCTTTCCAGATATTATATAAGCTTTCTCCATCACTGTGGAGATCACTGATAAAAGGGAATTAGTTGTTGAGCAGGTTTTTGGTGTAAATTGTCTTCGTAGGTTTTTGTTTACTCCTTTCGGGATTGGTTGGATTCTAGCTATTTTCCAGCAAGATGGCAGAATACACGACTTGTACAAGATTCGTAGAAAATGGGTGTCGATTGTGGGGCACTTGTTTTGAGAAAAATTGCAGCAATATGCTTTAGTCCAACAAAAAATTTCAAAATATCATATTTTTCTTAGTCTCCATATTAACGAGGTATTTCATTTTGAAAATCAAACGAAAAATGAAAAAATCAAAAAACAGTTGACTATTGCATAGCTATCGAAATCGTAGACTCTGCCGTCCTTCTAATGATAACTAATGATTAATGTAGTGTTCAGTGATGAGGTGTGGAAGTAATGGAAATAATACTTCTAATCTCCATGTTCTTTTTATTTCACTTTAGGCCACAGATTCAGCCATACAAATCTGTGTTTCATCCATACTCTTAGAGACGCTCTATATATGCCTACCTCAGTGAAAGCTGTCAAAATTTATCCTGACAAGTAACCAAGAGCAAATGCTCCCTCCTTCCGTCTATTTATTCGATGAACAGTCCTGGTGAAAAATGAGGACGGTGTCAAGCAACGCAATCCTGCTAGAGATGCCGTGATGCATAGGGACCTTAGCTGCAGTACATACAGGGTGCACCTCTTAAAATGAATCTCCTCTTAACTCATTTGTATTGAGAGATATGAAAAAAGAAGTCAAATAAAAAACTTGTATGAACCGACCCAAACTTCCTTTCGTGTATTTGTTTTATATACAGGGTCATTGGTTTTTCCGGAGAGGACATCAACTCTGATTTTTCAAATGGAATACGCAATATATTTTTTGACAAGTCGATAGAGCCCCCTTTTCTGATTTCAAATATATAAATAAGTTGTATATTTGGATGAAAAATTGTTGAATTATTAATGACCTCCTCGATGACCTAGTTAATGACCAAATCGTTCAATTACAATAAAAAAAAATAATGGACTGTTTGAATATGCAACTTATTCATATTTTTGAAATCAGAGAAGGAAGCGCAATCGAAATGTCAAAAAATATATAGGGTGTTTCATTTGGGAGTTGATGTCTTTTCTGGAAGAAACAATGACCCTGTATATAAAACAACTTCACAAAATAAAAGCTAAGGTCATTTCAAACAACTTTTTCATTTAAAATTTTTTCATATATCTTAAAACAAAAGAGTTAAGAGGGGTTTCAGTTTTAAGAGGCTCATCCTGTACGGGTGATTCACTATAAGCAGTGGCGCAACTACTATACCGCGAAACCCCGCGGTTGCGGGGGGCCAGATCCTCGGAGGGGGCCCTGGGCCCTGGGTCCACCAACCAGAGCAAGGATCAGATGAGTTGAGCCCAAAAGGAAAATGCGTTTAAAGAATTTTTCTATCAGAGAGTCTAAGAAAAATTCACTAGCTTGTCAGTGACAATTTTAGAATTTATTTAGAAGCCCAGAGATACACAGGGGATCTGAAAGCTAGCCTATGGAGTCTCATAGAGAAGACGGGGCTAGCCGAAGAACTCTAATCGATTTTGAGGGCAGACACAATAGATCTGAAAAGGTCGCGGTGTGGAGGCAGATAGCCCGAAGGCCCCATTCTAAATCTAATCTAATCAGTGACAATTTGTATTGAAAAAATTTTGGAGAAGAGAAATTAATGTATATGGAGAAAATATCAAATTTTTACTTAGCAAATGAGGAGACTTCTGCCACTACTGCATTCGAAACTGTAGGTACAGATAACTGACTTGAATGCGAGAACTCCTGGAGATGGAACTGAGTCAGATGATTCATTACTGGATGTATTAATTAAAGAATCATTTCCTTGTGATAAAGGCAATTTCAATCGCCGAGAATTGAGCAAAACGATAAAAATGTTTATTGTGCGTAATGGCTCTTCTCAACCAGATATAAATTTTCCAAAAGAGGAGTTTCTCTAATTTTTATTATTCACAGAAAATTCATGCGGGGCAAATTATTCCAAGAAAATGGTTGTGTTATTCACCCAAAGAAGATAAATAAATAAATAACTAATAGTTCGTGGAAAGAAGGGACTTCTGACGGGATAGGTTTGTCTCGAGGGGGCCCTAAATGATTTTGGCGGGGGACCCGAAGTATGAAGTTACGCCACTGACTATAAGCAAGTTTGATTCCAACGATGCAGCATGCAGGAAAGAAAAAGAACAAGGAAAACGATAAAGCAGTATTGAAGAAGGCACTGACGCAGGATTGTATGTAGCCTACGTAGATAAAACGTCTTCTTGGTTCTCGATATCACATGTCTTCATCCTAAAAATTATCAGAAATGCAAATATTGTTTGAAGATACAATTTCATGGAAAGATATGATGTACGGCGGTTGAGCTGTTTGTGTATTAAAGTTTTTTTTAATCATGATATCCCGAGTCGAGTTTCGTCAAGACATGACTGAGTCATCATGGTTGGTTGCCACATATCGGATTATTCTTTTACTGGAAATACAGTTGTATGTTGAAATCTAGGAAATGAATCACGTGGAATTTGTTAACATAAATTTAGCAAGGTGTATAATTTATTAATGCTGAATCTGCACTTTTTCCTGATATATTATGTTGTTTTATACATACCGTACTCTGCAGAAATATATAGGCACTGTAAATGTTTTTTTCCACCACCATCAATAAAACCTACCATTATTTACTCCTGTTCGAGGCGTAAAGTTTGTTTTTACTACTAAGGTAGTCTTCGCCATTTTATGAATCCCTAGTCAATAGCCAGTGCGATATCACAACAAACGTTCCATCGCTACGATGTTCGAAAGCAAACACATCTACGACATGACATCTCTGAGATGTCGCGTTCAGGTGACAGTGCGATATCACAAACGTTCCATCGCTGCGATGTTCATAAGCAAACACATTTGCGACATGACATCTGTGA